CAGGGTCAGGGGTTTTGGCCCCAGTGTGGGGCTATATAGATCATATAGTGAAAGTGCATTATTTCTTTGAAAATCTTCTTCTCTGCTCCTTGGTATTGAATAAAGTAACTAAGTACATAGTTATGATGAGCAAGAGTGCCTCTTCCAAAATTGTGAAATTCATGGCCCCAGGGTCAGGAGTTCTGGTCCCAGGGTGGGGCTATATAGATCATATAGTGAAAGTGCCTTATTTCTTTGAAAATCTTCTTCTCTGCTCCTGGGTATTGAATAAAGTAACTAAGTACATAGTTATGATGAGCAAGAGTGCCTCTTCCAAAATTGTGAAATTCATGGCCCCAGGGTCAGGGGTTCTGGTGTTTAGGGCGGGGCTCTATTGATTATATAGTGAAAATGCATTAATTCTTTGAAAATCTCCTTCTCTGCTCCTGGGTATTAAATAAAGTAACTAAGTACATAGTTATGATGAACAAGAGAGCCTCTTCCAAAATTATGAATTTCATGGCCCCTTGGTCAGGGGTTCTGGTGTAAGGGCGGGGCTCTATTGATTATATAGTAAAAATGCATTAATTTTTTGAAAATCTTCTTCTCTGCTCCTTGGTATTGAATAAAGTAACTAAGTACATAGTTATGATGAGCAAGAGTATCTCTTCCAAAATTTTGAAATTCATCACCCCAGGGTCAGGGGTTCTGGTGTTAGGGCGGGGCTCTATCGACTATATAGTGAAAATGCATTAATTCTTTGAAAATCTTCTCCTCTGCTCCTGGGCATTTAGGTGATAAACTAAGTACATAGTTATGATGAAGAGGTGGGCCTCTTCCAGAATTGTGAAAGTCATGGCCCCTGGATCAGGGGTTCTGATGTTAGGGCGGGGCTCTATTGATTATATAGTGAAAAATGCATTAATTCTTTGAAAATCTTCTTCTCTGCTCCTGGGTATTATTTAAACAAACTAAGTGGATGGTTATGATGCATAAGGATGCCTTTTCAAAAATTGTGAATTTCATGGCCCCAGGGTCAGGGGTTCTGGTGTTAGGGCGGGGCTCTATTGATTATATATTGAAAATGCATTAATTCTTTGAAAATCTTCTGTGCTACTGGAGATTATTTAAACAAACTAAGTGCATGGTTATGATGCATAAGGATGCCTTTTCAAAAATTGTGAATTTCATGGCCCCAGGGTTAGGGATTCTGGTGTTAGGACGGGGCTCTATTGATTATATAGTGAAAATGCATTAATTCTTTGAAAATCTTCTTCTCTGCTACTGGAGATTATTTAAACAAACTAAGTTCATGATTATGATAGGCAAGGATGCCTCTTCCAAAATTTTTAAATATATGGCCTCAGTTTTTGGGGTTCTTGAGGAAGGGGGGGGGGGCTCTATTGATTATATAGTGAAAAAGCATTAATTCTGTTATTTAATCATGCTGCTCCTTAGCGTTGAGCTGATAAATAAATTGCTTAGGTATGATGAAAATGGGAGCTTCGAACAGAATTTTTAAATCTTGTGGTCCTAGGGTCAGGGGTTCTGGCATAATGGGGGGGGGGGGTGATAATATAGTGGAAAAGTGTTAATTCTTTGAAGTCCATAATTATGATGATGAGGGTAACTCTTCCAAATTTGTGAATTTCTTGACCCTTTGTCTTGGGTTCTGGTGTTAGGGTAAGGCTTTGTTGAATCTGTAGTGAAAATGCATTGTACCTGTGAAATTCTTCTCTGCTTCTTGGCATATCGGAAGCAAACTGAGTAATAGTTTAAATGATATAAGTAAGCTTATTTCTACCAGATTTTTGAACATTTGGACCATTTGTCTAAGCATTCTGGTCCTGGGCAGGGCTCTATTAATTTGTATTCTACTGAGAGGAGTTATTCCCCTTTGCTGTTTACTTTTGATAATTAATCACTGTAAACAATGTACTTGAAAGGTTAATAGAATAAGATAATTATGCAAGAATGTTTATCGTATAATTCAAAAAGTACTTTCTTAGTTTTAATAATCAGGTAGACCTGTAAGTAATAGATAAATAAAAATGAGACAAAAATAACTTATCTTATGAAAAGTTCTTCAAAGACCATAAGAGAGGTCAATGCTAGGGGTCTTAATATGGGTTTAAAAATAGTACCGAAGCACTAATAGTTTGTTAATAGTCTGCATGGTGATAGTGTTAAGTGGGGGACAGATTAGAACTTAATTTATGAGTTGATACTGAATACTAGACTAATTATTTTGTTGATCTTGATCTTCCTACTTCTCTTGCTTTAAGGCAATAAAGTTTCATCTATCAGTGTATTTAACTTCTAAATTGTTGTATTATACTCAGGTGACCGATAAGGCCCTTGGTCCTCTTGTTTAATGAAGCGAGGCTGTTGGTGTACCTGTAACTTTCATCTGTTTCATATCTTCCTCATCAAATACATGCTTGCTTTATTCATTGGATCTCCTTTTATAATTCCTGCATTGTGCTTAATTCGGTCTTATAAACAATTTATTATTGCATAATAGTAAGGGAGACATGAAGATTTCTTCGCCCATGAAAAATCACTATCATGCAATAAATGTAAAGTGTGAACTTGTCAAGTCTGAAACACACAAAAGGATATCGCTGATATCATGCAGAGTGTATCATTGCCTTGATGAGGCCCGTAGGAAGCAAATTCAGTTGGGGGAGGGGGGCACAGCCATACATTTTCAGTTGACAGTTGAGGGGGCACTACCATAAATTTCCTGATAAGCAAAAAAAGGTCATCAGCTACCAAAAATTCCTTGACAAGCAAAAAAAAAAAAAAAAAAAAAAAAAAAAAAAGTTATCAGACGTTTTTATTGAGGGGGTACAAGCTATAGTATGTATGTTTACGATAGTAATCTATATATCGGAAAAATCATTGGGGGGCATGCCCCCCGGCCCCCCCGTGCCCCCTCCCCGTCCCTACGGCCACGTTGATTAAATTTAGGGTCACTAAGGAAAGAATGTTTTGAGTGGATGAATGGTCTGAAAGAACATGTGTTAACTTGTCAAGTCGGTAACACATAGTACGGGTTTGCTTATAACCAGAGTGTGTCATGGCTTGATGCAAGGTCATTTGAACGAGTTCAAGGTCATCTACAGAGAAACAATATTCCTTAACTGTCTTTCTACTGGTGAGACATTGCAAGTTGATACCCCTTAGAAGATTGCTTATAACATTAGAATATGGCATGACCTTGACTCAAGGTCACTTCTTCCTGTTCGCAGCTCCAACGGAAGACCTACTCGTTGCTTTGCAACGAGTTCTGCTCTAGTTTATGGGTCTTTTTGTTTCTTTAATAATATATTTACGTAGCCCTGTTAACATGCTTAAATTTATAACTGATAAGACATTTTATGATTTTGATATTTAATGTCACTTGTTTTTATCTACATGTTGTCAATCCGAGTTTAATTCCTCCAATAGGTGGAAACGTTATGATAACAAATAATCTTATACGAAAGATTAACACATAAACATGCATTTCCCATAAACGTAATCTTGCAAATAATCTACTATTTATGTTATTTCGACATTATATACAGTCGTATGATTCTCCGACATAACTCCAATTCCCGCGGATCTTGCATTGTTCTTAAATACAACTAAGATCGCTTAGCACAATAAACTTCCAGTGCAGGTCTAATTGCGGGAAAGAGGGCGGATCGTACGTCATTTCTCTAGCAACATAATACGATTTAAACAGCAGTCAGCCGGTCATCTGCAGCATTTTGCTCAATGCTTCAACTGACGATGACTGAAAAAGTTATTAGGAATATGGAAACCCAAAGCAAATGGGTAATTAATTAATTTATTTATTGATCCCAATGAATTTATGAATATTGGGAACGAACTGATGCCTGTTTATTAAAATTTATTTAATTTAAATAGTTTATCACTATACAGAAAATATTTTGGGTATTCCCACGCTTGGAAAAAACGTTATATGGGATATTAAAATCCAATTCTTATTGATTTGTTGGAAATATTTACTTTTATAATTTATAACCGCTCAATAATTTATAACCGCTCAATAATCCATCCTTGACAAAAGGTTATTTGGTAGTATATTTCTATCTGATATACAGACTTGGGAGACCCACAAGTTGCAATCACCAAATTCATAGTAAAAAGTGTTAAACGTAACAGACATATGAAGACAACAAAAATTCATAATGTTCGAAGTCCATTGAAACAATATAAATTGTGAGCAGAGTAAACATGACCCTCTCAAAACAGAGGTGGGATCAGGTGCCATAGATGAGTAAGCATCTCCTGTATAACAGTTTGGGACACATCATTTGTGATGAAAGTACGCATGCAATTCTTTAAGAGATACGTTTTAAAATAAAACAGGAAAATAGTAGTTGTAACATTCATGAAAATAGAACTGGGAAATAAAAGCAGATAAGCTGAATGCATTTCTTTGAATTTTATCATTAGACTGATATTCTATGTTAGTAATTTATATATTTGTGTCAAAGCATCAGGAATAATCCTGACAACCCTCACACAGAGTCAAAATGATCACAATAAAACAACATATTTAGAAATTTTGTTGCAAAAGCCCGGAAAATGATCAAAATCGACTGAACTACAAAGAGCTCGTCTGTACAAGACTTCTAGCCACGGATCACAAAATTATTTTGATAACACCTAAATCAATAAATTGATTTAGAAGGTTTTTAGAGACACTCAAAAAAATTATTCAAATAAATGACCTATTGCCAACGAAAATACGTTATTTACCCATTTTCTTTTATCATTATTCTGATTTAGCAAAACTGAAAACATTTCTCTTTATGCTTTGTAAATGAGTATTAAACTGTGTAAAGAAAATCAATTTACAAACATGTATCTTTTCATAAACTTAAGGTAAATAAATGCTTGCTCAGAACTGGAAATGCTACTAGTTTTCATAGTGTAGTTATAAAAAAAATTAGGCCGATATATACAGGGAATTTCTTGAACGTGTGATTTATGTGAATTTTCAGGAACTGAGAACGTTGCTATTACAAAACAAGAAGATACCATTAACCATTCGCCTGCTATGATTGTTGCTGTGGTAGAGGGCTTCCTTCTTGGTATTATCAGTGTTCTGTTGGCAGCTTCCATTAGATCTAGAAAAACAGAACTTACAGTTTGCCGTCAAATAGCATAGTAAGTTTTTTGTTTAAACTTCGAACACAAGCGAATTGCTTTTTCGGTGACACTTAGTTGTGTATTTTTAAAGTCTTTTCATAAATATATATTCGGAATGAAAGTAATATATTTTTTGGTAAATTTCTTGATTTCTTCTTCAAAACTTTTAATTTGTGGTGATTTATTGTCGTCTCATGATTTTTTTTACCTGATACAGCATTGGGAGATGTTGCTCTAACTCATCACTGACGTCTGGCAGCCATTCAGATCAAAGACAAAATGTAAGCATGTACGCAGCTACTGTATGTAAATAATTATATCCTTACATAGGAAAGATGTCTTGTTTAATATTCACATGTTTTACCTGATAATATACAGGTATCAAGGTTATAAAAACTAAAATTGAGAGTTTATCTTTACAAAATCAGTATAATCACTTATTCGTCAGCTATCTGATAAAAAAATATGTATTTTCATATATAGACTGTAGTCGGAATACTCAACTTTTTATTTGAAATTATTGATATCGTTTACTTGACTGTACAAATAAAAGCAAATCAAATTGAAAAGAAAAATCTCTTCACATTAAAAAAAATAATTTTGCATAGTGATGCAGTTAATTCGTACAAAATCCATATCTCCTTTAAGAATTTGGAAATTGTAGGTACCTCCAACTTCATCTGAAACAACGACAAAATCTGTTTATGAAGACATTCCAGACAAAAATATATACAATCATTTGCACGAGAAACCGAAATCTTCGGCACCACCAGGTCGTTATTCAACCATGAAAGACTTTCATAACGCTATTCAGACAGAGAAAAACTTTAAGCCTGGTGCTAATAAAGATGATAAAAATCAAGAGAACACATTTCTGATAGCATTACAATCATCAGAAAATGTTGATGGAAAAACGAACCTACATGAGATGCAATCAACAGGTGCATATTTTATTCTTGAAAAGAAATGTCCGGAGGAAAAAAATATACCAAATAGAAATTAAATCATTCTTAAAATCCATGTAAAATTCATGTAAATACATTTAAATCTATAAGAAAGAAATGTTAATACCTCCATTGTAAAAGAAAACATTGCTTTATCAAATGATTAATACGTTCGAATTTATATTCTTGGAAAGTTAAGACTTCAGAGAATATGTACATGAAACCCCCTTTTAAGCAATAAAAAATCTTTATGTAGAGTTACATATACATCTAGCAAGCAATGATAATGAATGTTCTTAATGGGTTTTCCTTCAACTCATTGATTGATACAGTAAATAAAAAAAAAAAGAGAGAGCAACTGTGTATCGTATGAACTTGGTACAACGAAGTGCACCGTAGTTTAGTTTGTATTACCAATTTCATCTATTTATTTATTTATTTATTTACTTATTTATTTATCTATTTATTTTTTAAGGGGGAGGGGGGGCATGAGTACTGAAGGAATTGTTAAGAGTTAAGGGAAGAGAGAAGCATAAATGTTGTTCAGTGGATCATACATTTGATCGGTTAATGTAAATCATGTAGCATATCTAATGGTTATTAAACTCAAATAATTATCAGATTTATATATTAAGTATATATTGATGCAAAAATAATGAACAATCACTGAAAGAAAAAATAACAAATGTGAACACTGAACCTTAATCGCTAAACATAATTTTGTGCTTTGTCATAAATTAGTTCATTTTTGCAATAATTGCCGTTTCAGAATGTTCTAATCTGAATCACTAAATAAATAAAACTTACCCATCGATTGGGTTTAATGATAAATCTTCCTGAAATGTCACATATATTTATATTAAAAGAAGACCAATACATTTGTTTGACATCTTAATATTTTGAATTGCGAATATTCGTACAATTGAAAAAGAAAATTTTAAAAAAAAAAGTGATTTTATATTATCTTCATGAAATATGAAGATAACGAACAGTATTCAGTCTCGAAAATCCAATGAAAGGAAACCAAAGTTAGAGCAGAGCAAACACGGACCTCAAAATGTAGAGGTGGGATAAGGTGCAATGGAGTTGTGAGCATCCCCTGCCCACCAGTCACATCCATCGTGTGCTCTTTGTCGAAAAAAACGGGAAAATTCCGTAGACATAACAGTGTATAATTAATGGCCAGACAATAAGTATGGAAAACGTCAATCAGTATTTGACCCAATGATAGGTTCTATGTGCTAAAAAGGTCATTGTATCGACCCAAAAACTTATGAAATGATGACTTTAAACGAGACTGTTTAAATTCTTGTTTCATCAACTTGTTTCAATAACTTACCTCGTTTAAAAATTGTTCATACGTAGAGCATGCTCCTGCGTATCGAATCAACTGAGAGATATACACCCCATATGCAGGTGATAAGAGTAAATTGCTGCATAAGTAAGGGAAGTTGACGATTGAAAAGTTAAAGTCATCATGTTTATCATAAAGCTTTGTCGTTAGATTACCATTAACGTCTTTTTCTAATAAAATATCTAGATATGAAACATACGAGTCAGACCTTGTAGTATCTTTTATTTCAAGCTCACTGGGATATGTCGTGTCGACATATGAATAGAAATAATTATTGTTAATTGATAATTCATCGTCGATATATCTAAATGTCGAGTTGAAGGCCACAGGAAGATATTTCTTTGTTTTTCATGTTTAAGATTTTGAATAAATTTTGCTTCATGTGAATACAAAAATAGGCCTGATAACAACGGGGCGCAATCGGTACCCATGGGAATTCCAACAGATTGCTTGAAAACCTGGTCTCCAAAAACCACATAGATATTGTCAATCAGAAACTCAAGCATCTTTTTAATATCAACTTCAGAGTACTTGTGCGTACAATCAGAATATTTTAACAAAATATTTGCAAATGACCAATGACAAGGTAAGTAGATTTACAACTTCAATTTTTATTGAAAAAGCAGCTGTCAATGATTACAAAAATGACATGTAAAATGACTACAATGATATTGATACAATGCTGAGATCAATATTCCGAAATAAATATGAAACAAGTGAAGAAAGCGAACGGTAATCAATATTTGAAAAATCATATAAAGTAATCCATTCATTTTTTGGTTGCTTGTTTAACGTCTTTTCGAGAATTTTCAATCAAATTGAGACACCACATCTTGCCGATGGAGGGCTGCAATTTTAGATCTGTACTCGGCACTTACGGACTTCGATCAGGATCTTTATTTTGAGAGGAATCTTTTTTTTTCGTGCCAGCACCTACTGTGAGACGGGACCTTGGTTTATATGTTCTCTTCCGAAGGGTCGGCCTCCACATCAAACAGTGGATTCGATCCTGCGACGTAAGGATCAACTCCTTACAGCTCGACTATAGAGCAAATGCGCACACCACTGCGCCATGCATGCAGGTGACAACCTGTATTTTAAACAGGAAAAACACGGAACAGGTGCCTAGAAGGAGAAAGCATCCCCTGTCGACCTGTCACATCCGCCGTGAGAGCTAAGTATTGATCAGACGGAATAATCCGTAGTCATAATTATGTAAAACAATGGCTTCATCATTTGTTGAAAACATGTAAGTCAAAATGCGACCAAATGATAGGTGGTATTTGCAAACAAGGTCATTATAATGACAATACAATTCGAAATGCTGATTTTAAAGGAGGTTATTGAAATCCTTGTAACATCAACTTATTTATCAGTAGCCTGCCTCGGATCAAAAAGTGATCGTACCCAGAGCATACGTTTGGGTATCAAATACGTTTAGAGATATTAATATCATATGCAAGTTATATTGGAATATTACTATATGAATAATGAAAGTTGACAGAGGAAAAGCTGAAGTCATTTCGTTTGTCATACAATTTAGTCATTGGTGTGCCATTGTCGTTTGAAGTCAGAAAAAATCATCCAAATAGGAATCAGTTGTGGCAGACTCTGAAGTTTCTTTTATTTTGAGTTCACCAGAATTTATTAAATATTATGTTCAGTATAGATAAATGAATAAAATAATTGATTTGAACATAATATATTGTAGATACTGCAATAGAATTATCTAGACATGGTATGTCTACAAAATATTCAAGGAATGTTACCACGAATAACCACAAATTAGCTAAACATCACTTCAAGAGACTGTGACAATTGTTGAACATACAAATTGTAAAATCAGTAAAGGCGAACGATTCACAATAACTTCGTTTATTATAGGGTTTGCAAATCTCATTACAGGTTTACTAATACTAATTATTGTACATATTTTGAAAAATACGTGTATTTCATTGTTTTGTACGACAGATGACTCTTCACCTGATATTACCATAGATATTGCTGATGACACATACGCAGAGATTTATGATGTTGCAAACTGTGTAACTATCCGCAAGCATTTTAGTACTGATGTCTCTGGCATGGCATTTGGGGCCATGATCGATCCACCGCAAGTATTTGATGCTGTCAAAGATAATTGTGAGGGGTACATTAATAGTAAAGTATTGAATAAAAACAAAAGTTTTGCTTTTGTGTACAACAAGGAAGATGAAAGAATGGATATTGATAGAAGAAACAATCGATGACTCTGATAACAGGTGATATCCTGGAACAGGAAACTTTTAATTGGAACTAAAGTGTAGAATATCATTATCAAAATTATATTCAAACGAACTTAACCATATGTGTCTCCATATAAATTCATCCTTAAAGAATTATTAATTGTCATCTATGTTAGCCATAAATAGAAAAAAAAATAATTCCCCTAAAATATCAATGATGGTAAAAGTGGAACTAAGTGAAAACAAATGATACAATAAGGAAAAAATTAGTATGTTTCCACTGTCATTCATCCACATTTTTATTCAAATTTAAGGGAGCCGACTGGCTTTATTGTGTGAAAACTACTATAAAGAAACTCTTTAATTTTATACCATATGTAACTTACATTGACTTCAGTGTACCTGCCAGGTTTAGTGAAAATCTACCGTCTGGTTATTTTTGAGGGACCATCTCAAAATACAGGTACATTTACTATAAGATTCAATAGGAAAATACCATCTTTCGCCCTTCGGAGGAAATTATACAAATGCTACTATAGGCTTTTGCTCAAATTATATCATTTTATGAGTAATACTATGTTGTACATTTTATGCAAGAAACACAAAATTCTACCGTCTGGTTTCCAGAGGCGGCATCTCAAAATATCAAAATTCATGATATTTTCCTGTTTTTATCGTGTACTACAAAGCATGACAGATACCACAGATTTACATAAAAAAATCATAAAAACGATTGCGAGATTCTCAATTTCCTATGTTTAAAATTTCAAGAGCATCCATTTTATACTTTTCATTTTATGTCATAATTAATGACCCTCTTAATGAATTTCGGTTATTCAAAACGTTAAAAACACACCATTACGACGTCTATCTACCCATCATTTGAGAAGTCTTTTTCAAAATCAGTTATTTAAAAACGTGTTACGTTCCGATAAGTTTACCTGTGAAATTCGGATTAACCGTTGTTGACAAGTTCCGAATAAACGGACCCTGAACCCGATGTGTATAAACTACTAAAATATTTGTCAATGAACAGTGAACGAAAGAATTGAACAATGATTTATTATTTGAACTTTATCAATTTGATTTATGTATTGTAATTACAAAGCGTTATATTGTATATGTTCTACATAGGTACAACGTTATTAAGTAATTTTAGTGGTCAAAACCCGCTAACTTACAAATTAGATATTGATTGTGACGTTATTGGTATCTGACGTTTATACGTCATCATAACAACTTTTGTCTATAAAAGACAGCTGTTTTGTGTTTAGAAGTCAGTCTGCATTGGGTTGCGACTCCGTATACTTCGGGTGTAAGACAGTGGTATGTACAAACAGTACCAAGTCTATGTATACGAAATCATTAGTGAAGAGTCATTCAGAGTAGAAACGTCCTGGATTGACCATTGGTGCGTCATCTTTGTATTAACCAAATAACGTTGTACCAACCAAGTTTATCATTGTGCTTATAATTGAACCATTTGATCGTCTTAATAAATATCATAAACTTTACAACGTGTTATTCGTCACGGTTCTAGTGCAGATATTATAGTGAACTAAAAATTGGTCATTTCGCCAATTATTCAGTGGACCAAAAATTGGTCATTATTCCGATTGTATATAAACTTTGTGGATAACCATTTCAACCTTGACCAGTTACCAGTAACCAACAGCGGCCCACGATTAACTGATTAAGTAATAACCTTATACCCTCGGTTTCGTTACAAACGTTATTAGAATTTTTAACCTGAGATTTCTTAAATTTGTTAACTTTGATAAATTATGTAAAAATATTTACTTTAAAAGGGTAAATACGCTTTATTTATCATGCTGCGCGAAGTATTGCGCAATGAAAACCCCGATCGGTCCCCTTAAGTCAACAAAATAACATATTTCAGTGTGAGAGAAGACTTAAGTGGAATTACAGTAAGACTGACTTGAATTCAAGACATCACTTTATTCGCACATTTACCCCCCCCCCCCCCTTCCTCCCCTCATATGGATAAACTGAAAACCATTGAGAAACGAATTGATTCTTTCAAAATGTATCATTCATGGAAAATACCCTAGATTTCCATAATAATAAAGTGATTTTAATTTCGTTTTCATATAGAAAACATAATTATGAAAATAATCAAAATTGTATTGGTTCGTGGAAAAGTAATTTCGTGGGTAACATGTATATACAGATGATTTAATGAATAACTATGGTGACAAAATAATTGTCCGTGGAGATATAAATTCATCGGTAAGGGTAACCTACGAAATCCTAGAATCTTTGTCTCCCACGAACAAATATGATGAGTCGACAGTAATTTACTTCTCTGTAGCTAAATCATCATATTGGTCTAAACAAATTCGATAGTTATAATAATGCTATTCTACAGTTGTATTTGAATATTTTTAAAGTCTTTTCATACATATATCTTCATTTGAAAGTTATATATATATTTATGTTTTTAGGAAAGATGACTTGTTTAATATTCACATTTGTCACCTGATTATATAAAGGTATCAAGGGTATGAAAACTAAGATTGATTGAGAGTTTGTCTTTACTTATCAGTATAATCACTTATTCTTCGGCTATCTGATAGAAAAACATGTATTTTTCTATATACTCGGTAGTCAGATTATTCAACTTTCATTTGAAATTATTGATATCATTTACTTGACTGTGCAAATAAAAGCAAATCAACTTGAAACGAACAATCTCTTCACATTCAATATTTTTTTTTTGGGGGGGGGGGGAGGGAGGGGGGTGGGGTGGGTTATAAGTGTTTTCACACTGAAGAAATTGATGATAAGAGTTAAGTGAAGAGAGAAGCAATTAATACTGTTCACTGGATCATACATTTGATCGTTAATGTAAATCATGCACCATATTAAATGGTAATTAAACTCAAATAATCATATTTATATATTAAGTATATTTATTGATGCAATAATAATGAACTATCACTGAAAGAAAAAAAATACAAATGTGAAAATTGAACTTTAATCGCTAACTATAATTTTGTGCTTTGTCACTCATAAATCTATTTATTTATTTATTTATTTGCAATAATTGCCGTTTTAGAAAGTTCTAACTTGAAACACTAAATAAATTAAACTTTCCCATCGATTGGGTTTAATGAAATCTTCCTAAAAATGTCACTGTCACACATATTTAAATTAAAAGAAGACCAATTCATTTGTTTGACATCTTTATATTTTTTAATTGCAAATATTCGTACAATTGATATGTATCTTTCAGTAAATCAGCTAGTCTACGTCATCGAACTATTTTTATCAGCTCTACTAAATTGTTTTAATAATGAAACACAAATTAAAGGCAAAGGAATGAAATTGGTGTTTAATTCAGAGAAAATATTTAATGCATTTTCTTAATGAAATGAATGTATGCTAACATTTTTAAAAGTCCAAACAAATAGGCATTGTATTGTTTTCAAGAGATTGTCTCACAAAAACAAAGCAAATTAAACAAAAAAAAAAAACAAACAAACAATAAGTGATTTTATATTTGCTACATTAAATATGAAGATAACGAACAGTATTCAAGCTCGAAAGTCCAATGAAACGATACAAATTTGGAGCAGAGCAAACACGAACCTCAGAATTTAGAGGTGGGAGCTGATGCCCTGGAGGTGTGAGCATCCCCTGACGACCGGTGACATCCGCCGTGTGCTCCTTGTCATGATCGAAAAAAAAACTCAGAAAAATCCTTAGACATAACAGTGTATAAGTAATGGCCAAGCAATCAGTATGGAAAATGTCAGTCAGCATTTGACTCAATGATAGGTTGTATGTACTGACAAGGTCATTGAATAGAAAATAAAACTTGCGAAATGATGACTTTAAACGAGACTTTTGATATTCTTGTTTCATCAACTTGTTTGACAATAATTTGCCTCGATTTAGAATTTGATCATACGTAGAGCATGCTCCTGCATATCGCATCAACTGAGAGACATAAACCCCATATGCAGGTGATAAGGGTATATTGCTACGTAAGTAAGGTAAGTTGACGATTTAAAAATTGAAGTCATCATGTTTAGCAAAAATCTTTGTTGTTAGATTACCATCAAAATCTTTTTAAAGTAAGACATCTACTGTTGTGTCAGACCCTATGTAATCTTCATTTCAAGCTCACTGGGATATACCAAGTCGACATATCAATGTAATTAATCATTGTTAATAGATAATACGTCGTCGATATCTCGAAATGTAGAGTTGAAGACCACAGCAAGTGTTTTCTTCTTCTTTAATCTTTTTATGTTTTGTTAGCTTTGTTAAAGTTCATTTTCGCCATAAATTTATTGCTCTATCAGCAAGTTTGCAGTGGAGAAACGTAAGTATTAAACTATTGCATAGAATTTAAATAAATTTTATTGGGATGATATACGGTAACGGAATGTATACAGAATGTATATTAGATGCGAAAATGTAACTCTTCAAAATAGTAATTGAAATGTGGAATGAGAAACAGAACAATGAAGAAAAATACACTTCCAGAATCAAAAGTCTCCTTAGGATTTTTTTAATGGGGATGTAAACCACATATAATTGAGAAGGCATACTTAAAAACGATTAAGGAAGGATGTTTTTTTTCCTTTTTTTTTTTTTTTTTTTTTTTTTTTTTTTTTTTTAGAAAATAGGAGGAAATTAGATGAGGGAATTTATTTTCCGATAAAAACTGGGTTTTTTATTCTCGAGATAATGTATATTTAAAAAATTAGAGTGAAGATCTGAGAGGCAGTATATACTGTACATTATATAGCATAATACATGCATATAATACATGTACAGTGAAACCTGTCTAATCCGACATGCACTGGGAGACGAATTTTGTGTCGAAAAGAGAGGGTGTCGGATTGCACATGGAAGAAAGCATGGAAAAAAAAACAAAATGGGAACAAAAGTTAACGTCGGAGTTCATAGTGTGACGGATTGCACAGGTGTCGGATTAGACAGTTTTCACTATATATCATTAGGAAAATGGTATATGATATAATATTTTTCTAGGAATAAACAGTCTGTAATTCATTGTTATCGGTTATAGGGTGTGACCGGTCGGCAGGGGATCCTCACTCCTCCATGGCACCTGATCCCACCTCTGATATTTTGGAGATCCGTGTTTGCTCTGCACCTATTTTGTAATGTTAAATGGGCTTTTGAGCTTGAATACTGTTCGTTATCTCCATATATTTCATTTTACATTATGTTATGTTTCTATATCAGCAAGCAATAACAAACTTTCAGATGACCTATCTTCTGACCTTTAAATCATGTGCCGATCATTGATTACAATAGCTGTATTAATATAGCGCATAATATAAAACACCATAGATCATATGATAAGCCTGCAAGTTTTTAAACCTGATTAGATACATGTATGTTGTCCTTGTTTATTACGTCATTGTTAAAACCTAAAGTGGAGAATGCCTTCTCCATAAAATTCACAATGAAAAGTTTTCTTAGCTTTCCTTACTGGGTTCTTGCTTTGTTGGTTGTATATGTAAGATTGCTTTTTAAATAATTAATTTTTGTTTGATTGAAATTCTTGTATTTTAGAGATTGTATCCGAAAAGCAACAGATCTCTATCTTAGCTTAATTCATAATTCAACTTGTTTATTCAGTGACTCAGGTAAATTAGATATAAAATAATAAATATTATTGACATACATATTATAGAAATAGTGCATGTTTTTTAGGGTAACAGTTAAAATTGACACCCCAAGGTAAACCATTGTCAACCGACGCATCATGGTTTACCTTGGGTTGTCAATTTCAACTGCTACCCTAAAAAACTAGCACTATTTTTATTTTATTATACTGAATGTTTTATTGATTAAGTATGTCAGCAAAATAAAAAAAAATCGGAGATCGTAGTTAAGTTCACGTTTAGAAAGCTTTCAAACTCCCTGCTTCTTTTTTTCTCAATTAGAAAGCTTTGAAAAAGATTTACCGATCTCTTTATTGTTTGTTTGATACTCTGAGAGTCCTTTATCATCTAAAGTTTCGTTATTTCTGCACTCGCAAGTATTTTTCGTCTGTCGTTTGTTGTTTTTAATCAAGCTACATTTGATGCAAGCTTTGGTTGACGTCAAGCTAATTCAGCTTCACTGACGTTTTGAGAATTCTACGACGAACCGTACGCGCATAATTTACACGCATCTGACATTATCGTTGTGGTACCCGTTGTCAAGTGTGTTGTTAATACATAGAATAACATTACGAATTGCTAAATGCGTCTAAACCAAACAGATTTTTGTACTTAACATGAAAGTATAATAATAAATTATTATTCTCATATTGTGATTATATCGAAATAATTTAGCTTTGGTTGTAATACGTCATTAGATTGGATAAAAAATATTAGTTAAATCGTAGTTGAAGTCATTATTGAACGGAAATTGTTTTCTTTCTTTTTTTTTACATTACATGATAGAAAATCATATATTTAAGAATAAATTTAATAGCTACCAATTCATTCCTTAAATAGTAATGGACAAAAAGTCAAAGATTGAAGAGGTTTTTTTGCTTCTGTTTTTGTTTGCTTGTATTTTGTTTTTGTTTTGTTTTGTTTTTTTTTTTTTTTTTTTTTTTTTTTTTTTTATGCTAATGATTTCCGTTTGGTTACTGTGAATGATTCCATAAATAATTTCAGGAAGTGTTCTCTAGAATGTTGTGATAGACTCTGAAACAGAGGATAGCTATGTGCGTGTACAAATTAAATACACCGCTGATATTATTCTAAACTGGAACATAAGAAATATTCAGAATGCTTTTACTCAGTTAAAGATCTAAACATTGATTGCACCGTGGATCAAAATAGATTACGTATATGCATTTCTTGTGTCATTTCTTTAGTGTAACAGTGCAATTTCATGTACTATATGTATGAGAAATAAATCATCAATAGTTGAAAGAGCAACATAATTTTTAGTGTAGAGTATATACACTTCCATATTTCTAATATTCTGGGCACTTGTATAAATTTATGATGTCAGAAAAAAAAACTTTTGCTATCAACATTCATTTGCTTCTCTGTCGGATGCAAGCAAAAACTGAAGTAAGTCTTTTCGTTTTGCATCAAAACATAAATAAAATATAAATTGAATGCATCTGCGACTTTCAAATATTATATTTTATGAGATGGACGTACATTTTGATAACCATAAATTTTTTTAATCGTGTTTTATAATGTAATGTTTTTTTAAATCTAATTTTGAATTTATCGGAAGGGAAGATGTATTACTAGAATAACAATGACGTAATTATCGTGGCTTATTTCTGCCTCATTTCTGATAGTGATTTTTTTTTAATATAATTTAGTTTTTTTTGTTACGCGTCATTTGATTGGATAAAAAATAGTTTATTTCGTATAACCATTGTTGCCTACGGCACAATGACTTACGTAAAAAATGTATCAATCAGCTTGACGTTACTTTTAAAATATTTTAATCAAAAATGAAAAAATGGTCAATAACAATTTATTCCCAAATACTTTGAAAAATGCAATTAATTACACTCAATTACAATTACTTTTTTTCGAATACTGCATGCCTGTTTCAATTTAGCAAAATTTACAAAGCTTATATATAATATATAAGATTATATTATTAATTTTGTCATCATTATTATTATATATTAGCTTTTCTCAATTTTGAAAGACTATTTTTAGGGAATGAACTTTTACGATTCTAGAACTACTCACCATGTGAAAAAAAATATATTATAAATACAATTTGAATTTACAATGTTATGAATCTTTAGGCAATCTTCAGTTATAAGATCTTTTCCTTAAAAGAATATTCATCAATTCGTCAAGAACTGAATCTCTTTATCATATGCATCAATATCAGGATCGCTGACAAGTTGTATCATACGAAGTTGTCTTTATAGACAAACCATCGCGAAACAGGCCTGTCTACGTATGTATTGAAACACAAATTTATTTTAGATGTCAAATGAGCCATCCAGAAAAAAAGTTTTTAAATAAAAAAAGGGGATAGATTTTCATTTTTCAGGAATCCAGAATGGTACTAACAAAAGCCTTACGATTTACATTCATCATCAGATGATTACAATGGTAGTAGGTTAGTTTCTTATCAAATAATTAATGCGGAAAGCTACTTAATGTTTCTTAAATCAGACATAAATAAGAGATGTTTTCTTTCGTGGCATTTAGAATTTTCCTTTACAAGCTCTTTTTTTTTTTTTAATTGACATAAGTTTTATAAATCAAAGAATTGATTCGGTAAGCTAATTAATCTCAAATCAGACATAAGTAATTGATGCTTTCTTTTGTGGCTTTTAGAATTTCCATTTACAGGGTGTTTTTTTTTTTAAACATAAAATTATGTATATTTTCAAAATATGATCAGAAACTCATAATTTTGTATCTAAATGCATAGACAACTCAGTCTTACGGGCGACAGATGTATATATTTTTAAATAAATCACAACGCTTCAATCTTTTCCTAGACTTTTAGCTTTTGCAATCAAATAGGGAAAGTTGGAAAATGTTTTTCAATGTTCTTGATGTTTAGCAATTATGTTGATGACGGTTCCTATTTTTATTCAAAATTTGGTTGATGAATTAAAGACGGAATTTCATGAAACTTCTCTTAAGGCTTAAAAGTAAACTAATAATTTTTCAAAGTTTGTAATTGAACTCGACAGTATGAACTCGCCTGTATGTTAAAAAAAACTTTCATGTCGTTAAAAAGATGTGTTTTGAGGCTAAACGACTTTTCATAAAATTTTATGTCTATATAATAGTGGTCTGTAATTTTAATTAAACCCACACTTTTGTGAACTGGCATGAGGTGTTCTTCAGGAATTTGTTTAATAATTTTAATATCATGTTATAGGGATTAGATTACATTATACATTACTGAAGAAACTATATTGTTATGATATTTTTCTAGTCTTTTTTTACACGAATTATTTGTAAATTTTTATACTAGTTGTATTTTTCTGATTAAATGAAATTATTCATTTCTATATTGGGTGACTTGTTCTGTCTGCTTCATTAAAAACAAACGAGCTCAATCTCAACGTTCCTCAATTACCAATAAAGCATAAATAAGAACGTTTTTAAAAATGAAAATTGGAGATAACGAATAGTTATCAAGCTTAAAAGTCCATTGAAACAACAGGAATTTAGAGCAGAACAAACACAGACGTCTAAAAAATTCAGAGGTGAGATTAAGTGCCACGGAGGAGTAAGCATCCCCTGCTGACCGATCACACCCGCTGTGTGCTCATTGTCATGATCAGGAAAACGGAAAAATCCGTAGACAATTCAGTGTTTAAACAATGGCTAACCAATTAGTATGAAACACGTCAGTCAGCATTAGACTTAATGATAGATTGTATTTGCTGACTAGGTCATTGTATCGACCATAGAAATTGAAAATGTTGAATTTAAACGAGACTGTTGATATTCTTGTTTCATCAACTTGTTTGTCATTAGCTTGCCTCGATTTAGAAATTGTTTAGAGCATGCTCTTGCGTAACAAAGCAAATAAGAGATATAAACCCATATGAAGGTTATTATGGTATATTGCTACCTATAAATAAGGGACGGTGACGATAGAAAAATTACCACATCAAATCATAAAGTTTTGTTGTCAGGTTTTCTCTAACGCCTTACTCTAATAAAATCCAAATATGAAAAAAACCCAGCTGTCTATGATGTCAAAGAGCCTGGAATTAATTTTTTGTAGGGAATGATTGTGTAAAGAGTTGAAAAGTCGTGTATTTTAATGATATTGATTTTGTTTATATTTTGTGATTTCAAATTTTCTAAAAGTTCCTTAGAGTTTTTAAGTATCCACATCTTGTTTACACCACTTATCGAATATAATATTGTTGAACAATATTCCTGAAGTTTCTTCTTCACTGCTTTCAACATTTTAGTGAGGTGTAAAGAACGAGGCTTGATACATGTAGAACATTAACTGGAACCCGCCATGTATCTTTGATTGTAATAAAAGATTTTTATTTTGTTAAGGAATCAAGTATACGTATGGTAATTCAAGTTCCATTTGATTGTTTGGACATGTTTTAGAAGTATTTCCTCTTTAGAGAGGGAGCTATGGGTATAATATTAGTAATCTAAAACGGGCCAAAAGTTGTTGTCTAATATCTCAATATATTTTCTTGCATTTATGTTATTTTTTACAGTTAAATTTCCTATTCCTTTAAACACACACGACCCCAGATCATGATACTCAGATGTTTTCGAGATGGCTGACAAACTAGCTGCGCACTGTATTTTTCCTCGTCTTTTCTCCATATATAAACTTTATTTTTTTCCAATAATTATCTGGTTTTCATCACTAAACACACACGTAGGTGTGTTAAGGCTACACCCATAGATATCATACTTGCCTTTACAATATGATGTCATAGTAAGCTTTCTGGCGTGAACTTTAGAAATAATGATTTCTTAATATATATATATTTAAAGTTTCATTTCAGGCCCAAGAAATGAATAGAATCATTCAAAACATAATATGAACTAAATCTTGTCGTTTTTCGGTGGTATAAATAGCTAAGTATTTAGCACGGGGGTTAAATACCAAACCCATGACGTCATAACTATTGATCAAATATTTGCCGAGTGAAATTGAACGTGACGAGAATTCATGTAAACAGATATATGAAATGGGAGTTTTAAAGCATATACCATGAATGTTATGTGTAACTCATAAGGAATTGAAGATTAAGAATCAGGTACGCTGATATATTCTTATCATGTTTTCTTATAATAAACACAGGCAATGCCTTGAAATCTCGGCCGGCCTTTCCTCTGTCGCTCTATAACAACAAAGATACAAAAGTTCAACACAACGCTTTATACTTTGAAAAGTAATTTTTGCTTGTATCGAAAGTTTGTATTCTATATTACTTGGAAAGTGCTGCTAGAATCGTGTGGTTAAAATGAATTGATAATAATTCCTTGATATTATTTGTAAAATGTAAAAATTTGGTAAGGTTCATGCGAAACTTTGGAATATTTTTTTCTATGTCGGGAGAGTAGGATTCTAGCAGCACTTTTCATGGCCCAGTGATGTTTTTGCATAATTATTTTCACTAAAAAAAATGAATTATCTCCGGGGTAGTGTTGAACTTTTCACTTTTTCATTAAGGCAATTTTTCTATTTATAGACGTCACGTAATGACGTCGTAGTGGAGTGCTTCTTTTAACCTAAGACTCAATTACGTCTATACAATGGATAATAATAGTAGATGTTTTATCTGTGGCTTATCCGATTTATCAATGTTACATTTTACAAAAAAGTCTAAATTTGCCGTAATATGATCTTGGTACTGCCTTAACATACCTGCTGATCTGATGCCTTAACATACCTGCGCATTCATTCCATTCACGATCAACAGTTCAAATTCTTCTCTCCTAGCACCACTTACAGCGAGCTTTTTCGTTGGCTTCGCAAATAGCGACTTTTTTTCTTGGCAACCCTCCGTTTGTATCCCAGCCCTTGAATTTTTCTTTTTTATAGTTCTAGTACAAAATCTATGATTGCTTCCCTCATTTATAATACCTGTTATGTCTTCGTAAGTTCTTCGTCTGTTTTCTTTAACTACACGTGAATTTTTTTAAAATCTCTGTCTGTAAACACTTTTTTCTTCCCCTTCGATTTTCTACCTGTCCCGTTTCACTAAACGTTTTTGCAATACATGTACTACGTATTGTAGACCTAGGAATTCCTAATATTCTCTCCAATTCGGACGTATTTCTGTTCTCTTTATACACTTTTACAACAACACTTTTGACGGACGTATCTAATTCTTTCCCCTTCCGACCCATGTTGTTTTTACATAAATTTATCGACAAACAATAAAGCAGACGACAAAAGTATTGTATATACGGCATCAATTTCTAGTATTACAACACAAAGATAAAAACAGAAAGGGAAAATCTTTTGTCTAATAATAGTGCTCAGCCCTACTTTACCTAACATGCGAGAAAACGTAACGCGATTTGCGCGGAAGTGGCGAATAATTATGTCCCTTGACTGTATCATTAAGATTTACTACGTCTTACAATGCATCGTGACGTCATATTATTTGCTTTTTATCATAGAGAAACTATGCATTGTGACGTCACGTTTTAACCCCCGGCTCAAGCAGGGTGTAAGGAAATTTACAAAGCTCGTGTTACAAGCTACAATGGAAATATGTTGAATTACCGCTTGCAGAATTAAATCCCAGCTCCTCTAAATTAATGAACCTCACAAAGACAATGTTACCTGCTTTGTCAGCTTGGACCAGTACATATTGATCGTATAATCGATCTAATTCTTTATCACTTCTGAATCACTGAAGACAGAAGGATATTGGTTTTCATATTGTCCCTCAATCGTCGCTTAATCCGAGATTTCAATATCCACCTGATACTTTTAATCTATTCTGACAAAGTGTAAAGGTCTTTTTGTTCATGTTTTGGTCCATAGCCTGGCGTTATCCTTTAAAGATTTCATAATGCTTATGAAATTATGACGCCAATTCAAAAATCAGGCTTCCCTAAATTATGGTCCTTTTAAAATAAGTGATTTAAAATTCTCATTGTTAATCATATTTACTCACCAGTAACGACGTGTCCAGAAGGACTATAGTTGTGAAAAGAACAAGTTCGAGGATTATGTTTCAGATGTTCGATATCTAGGCACTGTAGAGATTTTTTTTAATACAAAACTAGAACTAGAAATTTGAAACTAGAATGTTTTCTGTTAATTATGTATGAATAATTAGAATGAAAGGAAAAAGAAACGCTAAGTAAACTTTTGATATTATTTTATGTTATTTTTGAATGCATTTTCCAGTAATGTTATTTAACATTTAAAATCATCTATAATCAAACGTTTATTAAAAAAGTAACCAAAATCTGATTTGATTTTGACTGATAATTCATGAGTTTTTGAAACACAAATAACGGTACCCCCCAAAAGTGACAATCGAAAATTCTCCTTATTTCCTATGCCTCGCTCCCGCATCTGTCACTACCTTTATTCTACTCTGCATGGGGTTCATCAGCGCATTTATATCTTTCACATAGAGTG